TTTAGAAGTTCTGCACGCTATCCACTCGGCCACACCGACACATTGTTATGCAAAGATTTTTAAAACTATATAATGATTTTTTTAACAGAAAAAAAATGTTATAGATAATAATTAAGGAGAGTTTGATGCAATGCAATTTTCAAGTATAAATCAAACTATAAAACTTGATAAATGTTTCAGTATGTTTTAACATTACTTAATTTAAAGTTTACGTACATTAGATATTTGCATACACATTCATTCACATTTTCTTATAAAATAAAGTGCTGCGAATCTTTCTTGCCACTACCTTGGTTGCAATGGCTGCCAAGGGTTCTGTGTCAAACAGGCTTGAAAGCGCACTATTAAGTTCGGTATTATTAATTAGATATGGTTTCAACACAATTTTCAAACACAATTATGGCCTTTAAAAAATTCAAAATAAGTATAAATCAAAATTTTAAAACCATTTAACATTTTAAAAACTAAATTCATTAATCAGACTTAATCATCATTAATCAGACTATTGTATATTGTATATTGGGAAGCTTGGTTCCTGTAAGTCTGCATGTCCTTTTTTTTTTTAATTGCTCATAAATGATGTAAAAAATATAATGACAAACTCATTAGTGAACTTATTATTAAATAAATTTGTAAATCAACTTTTTGACCAATATCAATCCACAAGTGTTTATTATCTATGCTTATAAAGCTCACTTTTTACATTCAATTAATTTAACTAATTTCAATTTCAGGTGTTCAGCAAATTTTTTGATCAGATCTTTATTTAGATAATCATTGTTGAAAAATTGAGAATATTTAAAAAAAGCTAGCAATGCAAAAAAAAAAAAAAAACTCCCTTAACAACCATCTTTAACAATTACATAAAAATAGTTGATTGTTAATTAAGAGTTGAGTTTAATTAAAAAAAAGTTTTTTTTTTAATAATAAATTATAATAAAATCTTCAATGAAAATATATTCAAAGCTTAATTTCATTCAAACTTTGTGAATGATTTTTAATCCAATCTGGGTGAATAAGAATGAAATATTTTTAAACAAGTGCTAAACAAACAAAAATATCAAAATACAATATTTTTGGTTAAATTATATTAATCCTAAAAGTTTATTTTATTTACATTTTTTATTTTATACTTAAATTAATTATTGATAGTCATTAAGGTTTAATTTAAATTCTAATTGATTAAGATTATTAATTTTTGCTATAATTTTTGTGATTTTGTTGTTTAATATTATCTTATGAATTTCCATAAAACAAAACTCACTCATTCCAGCCAGCTGGTTTTTCAGGTAATAGTTGTTCTGTTAAAACTGATTTTGAAATATCACCATTTTCTGAACCACTATACTCAAAAGTTTCTTGTATGTAAGGCTTCTCATATAAAACATCTTCCTGATTGGTAGGCAGAAGACACATCGGCATACCTTTATTTGGATTCAGATCAAAAGATGGTTGACTCTCATCGATTTCTAAATTAATACTCTATAATTAAAAAAGCAACTCTTTAATAGTTCATCTAATAAACAACAGATGTATGAAAAAAAAATCATCTGACACACTTTCTTAACAATAATCTTTTTTTCCTTTCTTTATTTCTTTGTAGCTTAGTACTATTATGTTCTAATATTTCTCCTATTCATATTTTATTCTTATTTTTTATTTTGATAATTTTAACTTTTAAAATATAATATAGTTTTTTTCAATTTTTTTCAATTTTGCATAATTTCTAAAATCTATTTGATGAATAATTGCAGAAAGTCTAAGATTTTTTACTTTTTACTATTAAAATTTTTTTTCAACTTCTCACTTTAAACTTATCACATACAGTCATTTTTCATACAATATTTGAAACCCAATAACAACAGTAAAATTAAAGCATTCAATAATCATTTTTTTAAACACCATTATCATTTTTAATACCATTATTTTTTGGTACTAAAAAATTTAAACATCAGAGTAATACTAATATTAAAACATTGAAAAAAAAAAAAAAAAAAATTGAAGTAAACAGTAAAAATTTGCAGAGACTCAATAACTTTTTTTATTTTATGTAAAAAATCCCCTCTTTTTCATTTTGTGCTTTTTTCTACTTCATGCTAATTACCTTTGTAATATTTTATTCTAAAATATGCCAGTATGATACAAAGGTAATTGTAAGTGTCATCCTCGAAAATGATTGCAATAGACAATGTTGCCTCTTGCAGAAAACGTTCTCTCCAATTTCGCACTTGTCAACTTTACAGTTTTTAAATATTCTTAGGAGTTTTCAAAATATATTTCAAAAATTTATCCTTTTTCAAAAACTGTAATTTTATTATATATAGTTTTTAATAATTTTTTCAAAATATTTAATCTTCCCTAATTTTTATATTTCTTATATAAACTTTATGCATTATAGTACCTAGTTTTTGGCCTTAAGGCAAGGCCAAAGACTAACAACTCTAAATTTATGAAAAAAATAAAATTATAAAAAATTTCTAGATATCTTAACAAATTTTTG